AAAAATATATATATATTTTTTTTACCAAAGTCTCAGTCTTTAATTAGCTTGTTGTGGTTATGGCTTCCAGCCGTCATTAGRAAAAACCACAAATCATTGCAAAACACTTTCAGGCTGTTTGTTCAGTTTTTTTACTCAGCAGAATTTGAAAGAAATAACTCCGATCGACTCTGTAAACAACTATTTCTGTGGTGAATATCTTTCAAATAGGAACTAAATGACTATTAAGTGGCTGCAAAATGTATTTTGTGACACCTGCCAGAGGACTGACTAGATGTGTTTTGCTTAAAGAGAATAATGCACTGTGAGCTCTACATATTAATGAAATGAGACATTTTAAACTTGCACAACACTGTACCCRTCCAAAAACAGAATATATGATGCAATAAGTGGTTAATTCAAGTGCTAGGAATAAATTAACTACCCAAAACAACATGAATATATATGGGCAGGGAAATGACTGAACTGAATGTGTCCCCGCTGAAACAAACAACTCTGCTGGGAAGTATAAATCTCTTCACTGGGAGGAAGAAGAGAAGAACGRAGGAGGAGAATTTGCCATTCTCCTGCGCTCCATTTACGGTATCTGTCGCTCTCGCTGGGGCTGCGATCCAACTTATTTCCATATCCGCCGCTAGATAACCTGCCCAGCACGCATAAACACATGTGATTTACAACAACGCTGAGGAAAACCTGTCATGCGCCGACATCCACCCCAAGGGCAACGCGTTCACACACCTCGAAGGGAAATATGGTGTGAAATGATGRAAGGGATTTACAGCCTTAAGTATAAATACTCCAAACAGCTCATGTTGAAGGAGTGTGAATGAGTTTCCATCTATTTYCCCTCTCTGACACAAATTTACTGTAAATACAAGTGAAATGTTGCATGCACAATGTCTGAAAGACACAGTATTTCACTTATAAAAACCATAAAATCCTTAGGAATGTGGCACGTGTGCAATATCGATGGTAGAAAACCGGACATTAAAAAACTATCAAGTAAAYTCAAGTGTCCCACACAAGCTCAGGAGTGTTTTGACACTTGTAGGAACAAGACGAATGGGTACCACCAAGTTCTGCAAACACTCATGTCCTGACTAAAATTAATTCTGCCTGGTCCGCCACACACACACCCATCCTTGTATTTGCATTAAACTGAGGACTTTGCATTGACTTCCATTCATTTTTGTAATTGCATTTATGCCTAACCTAGACATTTTCCCTAACCCTAACCTTTACTGGTCTATTCCTAACCTTCACTAAAACATAATCAGGGTTCCCACACCTTGGTCAACATCAAATTCAAGGACCTTTCAAGGACTTTCCAGTACCAATTTCCTCAAATTAAAGAACCACATGCAACAGCAATTACCTACTGCTACTGCAGAATGTTAGTAATCCCGAGTTATCCAC